AACTACCTTAGGCCCCAAACCTACTTGAATCATCCCGTTCACTTCCAACTCTACCTGAGTGCTCGAATCACCACGAGCCAAACGATCATCAAGATCAAAACTAGTTACACCTAAGCTAGTGATGGGTTCTTCAATATCATTTCTTGAATCACCACGAGCATCATGATCACAACCAACTCTAGGCGTGTTACTACTTATCGAACCATAAGCCGTAACGGCATCTAAAGTGATCGTCAAACCTTCCAAAACATATAATTGGGACTTTCTTTGTCCCTTCAGTACAACTCTAGAACACTTGCTCACATTTAGAATTTTACCTCCACCGATATACATGTACATTTTTGAATCGAGAGTACTCAATGAGATAATATTTTTGTTTAAAGTAGGAGAATGTTTCACTTCACCAAGTGTCCTGACTTTCCCATCAAACATCTTAATTCTGACCTTATCAATACTAGCTAACTTATAGGGCGAATTATTTTCTATCATCATGGAACTTTATAACAGTTTCATATGCTGAAAACCAATCCCTGTTAGAACACATATGAAAAGTGCATGATGTATCAAGAATCCAATCCTCGCAAGATTTAGAGTCATTGTCAGAAATCACCAAAAGATCTCTATCATTACAGTCTTCTCCTATAAGACTGGTTTAACTAGAATAACCAGGTTGTTCCTTATGATCTGTAGTACCAAATTTATTCATGTCTTTCCGTTTCAGGCAGTCCTTCTTGTGGCACTTCTTCTTACAAAAATAGCAAACAATATCATTATTATTAGCCTTGGACCTGTTCCTTCCATCAACACTGGATTTCTTCTGTGAACAACAAGACCATCTACCTGGGCTTTCGATCCATCGACCAACTGCTTCATCTTTTCTCTTGAATAAAAGGGCCTCATAAACCTCTTCAATGGTGAGAGTATCTCGACTATACAAGATGGTGTCCCTAAATTTCATATATGAAGTGGGCAACGAATATAGCAAAATTAACCTTACGTCTTCTTCATCATACTCGACATCCATAGTTTCCAAATCACGACGATTTCTTTAAATATAGAAAGATGATCTTCCAAATATCCACATTATGTCATGCGATGAGAATATAAGCACTGTTTTATATGCAATTTGCTGATTAGACTCCAAGTCATAGATAAGTGCACTAATTTTAACCATAATACAGCTACTATTTTCTTCTTTACTATGTACTAGAGAATTTGATTTGAAAGATAAAGATGTATCTGTGATAGGGCCTTCCGATCCTTACGCTGCTTCTCTTCCAATGTCAAGGTTGCAGGAATTCTATTAAACCCCAACAAAGCATCATCAAAACCTAATTAGGCAAACACTGCTCGCATCTTGATCTGCTACAAAGAAAATCTGGTTTTGCGATCCAAAAGCGAAATTTCAAACTTCATACTTACCATCCCAAACCTCATTGATCAATCTTTGCTTTAATACAATACCAAATTGGCTCTCTCAAGAACTTTGATCCTTGGCTCTAGTACCATTTGTTGTCAAACAAGCCAATTTGCAATAACTCAACCCCAAGTCAACAAATGTCTATGAGGGTCCAATCCAACCTTTGCTTGTAGCAGGAAGAGCTATGTAATGCAGTGAACTGTTATGGGACGAAACATATGCAAAGGCTTTTTTTGATATTCTGTCATTTTAACCTTTGTCATTGGATTCATTTGGGGCCTCAGTTGCGAGGTGTAACAAACTTATTTCTCCCTGGAATCCCAATTCAACAAAAGTGAAAAAATCTGCATGGTTGTTTTATTTGTCATGACGACATTTTGGGGAGCTAGATAATAAAGCCTAAATTGGAGTTTAGGTTTTATTACCTATTGGGTTTGTGAACCAAATTCGGTTGGATTTTTTTGGAAAAATATTTTTTTCTTTATTCCATGTATTTCTTTTATTGAAAAATATTGTTTTCTTTATTCCACGCGTATTTTTATGGTACTAGAATTTGCACCACTTGTTATGAATATTAAAGTTAAGAAAGTAAGATAAGATAAAAAAAGAATCACACAAGATTTAACATGAAAATCTAAATCCGGAAAATCCATGAACAAAGGCAGAGAATTCACTATGATCTATGGCAAAGAAGTACAAAAAGATCTTCCAATACTCTCAACCTATCTAAAAATATGCGAGTATTTTTCTCTATAATTTAGATCCTATCACTTTGATGTTCTCTCAATGCTATACAATGTTTTGCTATGCTCTTACAAGGTTATAAAGGTGTTACATTACGTGGAGTATATGTAGGAGTTCATTACAAGTGTTTTTGATGACATACTATACAAGAAACAAATCAGAATCGAAAAAGGATTCCCGTCCGATTGACACTGCCGCTCGAGGGCTGGGCAGCAGCAAGTCAACCGTTTAAGCAAAATGCTAGCGTTGGGCAGGCACCAGCTCTCTGCTTTGTTTTTCGCCCCCGATGCTCGAGAGCCTAAGCTAGCAGCCAGTTAGAGAAATTGCGGTGACTTTTCTCTCGGGACCATAATTTGTTCTCTTCAAGACCATTTCAATCAAAACTCCAAAAACAAATATTCAATTATCCAAAGTCATTTACCAATCAAACTTACAATTCTTGATGAACTTTGATCCCTTTTGAATCAGACTTCCAAACCGAGAAGAATTTTGTTCACTTTATCAATTAAACAACACAATCCTAATCCCAATAGCAATTCGAGTCATACTTCAACAAGGCTAATTATACTTTGATGATATCAGATGTTTATCTACCAAAAGTCGCTAATACGATATCGTTCGAGTATATCAAGAATCATATGAAGGTTGTGGATGATCAATAGACGATGTTTTATCTTAGATTGTAAGAGTTCATGATCTACATTTCATTCGGTTAAGTTGATAACAAATTTCTTGGCCAAGGTAAGTTCACAAGTTGAAATTTTTTTTTACATTTATTAACTTAAGGGTGTGTTTGATTGCCAATATTTTCCATGGAAAATGTCAGTTTTTCTCCAAAATTCCTACTTTTGTGCTGTTTGATTGACATTATTTTCCATGGAAAATAGTTTCCTACTTTTAATCACCTGACTAGATTTTCTATGAAAACAGGGAAAATATTTTCTTAGGGTTGAGGTAGATTTTATTTTCCAGGCAATTGGTAATTATCTTTTAAAACTGAACCAGTAACCACATTACCTCTCTCTCTCTCTCTCTCTCTTTCTCTCTCGTCAATATTTTCTCCCTCACAAGTAGGGGTGGGCAAAAACCGAACCAACCCGACTAACCCGACCGATCCAAACCAACCCGATCGGGTTGGGTCGGTTTTTTTCCTTTTTTTTTTCCTGGGTTGGGTTCTGGCAAAGATTAGTGGGTCGGGTTGGGTCGGGTTGTG